ACCATCTAAAGCAAAACCGTTCAAATGTGAAATATGTGACAAATGTTTTAGTTGCAAATCAGACCTTGAATCACACAAAAATACACACACTGGAGAGAAACCACACAAATGCGAAATATGTGAAAAATCGTTTGGCCATATTTCAAATTTGGCAAAACACATGCAAATTCACACTGGTGACAAACCATATAGCTGTTCAACTTGTGGGAAATCGTTTAACAGAAACTATAATTTGTCGGTGCACATGAGAATACATACCGATGACTGTTCATTTCAATGTGGAATATGTGGGAGACTTTTTAGACACAAATGTAATGTGACATTGCACATGAGAGTACACCAAGCTGTTAAACAATAAAACTGTGAATCATGTGGACAATTGTTTAGGCACAATTATCACTTAAACGAACACGTGAACAGACACCGGCGACGAACTGTACAAATGGTAAACATGTGGGAAATCTTTTGGCCAGAAAGCTACTTTGACAAATCAGGAAAATCTACATAGACTTAAGAAGCCATGTTAGAATTGATGGAAAATAATTTAGAGAGGCTTCAATGTTTTTCATCCAATTGTGAATACTCATCAGTGACGAAATATACAAGTGCGAATAACTGGGAAATCGTTGCCTTTGAACTTAAGAGAGACAAGACACTTGTTAACTCACACTGTTAACAAAACCTAGTGAAAAGCGAAGAACGTTGTGATATTTACTGAGGCTCCCGGAGACGCTGATGGAACCAAATAGACGTGCGAAAATACTGTTAACAAACAATACCGATGTGAAATATGTGGGAAATTGTTTATCTTGCAGTTAAGATGTCACATGAATTCACGTCTGGAAATATATGAACATCAAAAGAAGAGCAATGGGATTTCGAGAGCCATGAATTGTTTGTAATGAAGAGGAACAATGTAAATATTTGTGGAGATATATTTATATTGATGTAAGTCTATATTTTATTAAGGACATTCATTAATGTAAAATCTACTATTTTTATTAAGGATATTCTGTAACGAAAAACTATCATCAGCTTCCTCTATTACCGATTGCTCAAATGTTCTTTTTGCCGTTTTAATCATTCGCTTTATTATATACTTTTGGTAGCTCAATGTTTATAATTGTTTGTCTTTCTTTTTTGAAACCAATATAGGAAATACTTGACCTCGTCTGCCTCATAGGCTATGGTTACGTTGCAGTTCGATACGTTCGTTTCCTACAGCTGCACGAATAGCTACAACTTTTTTTTAAAAAATGATCGTGTATTTGCAATGTCTCGATGCAAATGTGGTTCTTATTTTAGCAGTATTTTGCATGTGTTCGATAAATTTGACAAAATCATTCTTTTAACTTGACATAGGGATATGTTAGCGTAGAATAAAAACGTTTGGAAAAGTTGTTAAAAAGTCTTGAACTGCGAGTGTTATGAACTAAACCTGTAACTTATGGAAAGTTTGGACATATGTTAGATATACGAGCACACCATTTTAAATTTGAACTGTTGCGTATTGTTTAGCCAGATCTCTGTCGACGGAGAGCAAGATAAACATATATGATGTACATTGAATTGTATGATATATTCTCATAATATATTAGAAATTAAAATTATACTTTGAAGAATTACGTTCGTTGTGTGAGACACCGAAATTAAACTATATGGTACATTAGTTACAGCAAGAAGCCTAGGGTGAACATCCAGGTAATATATGGAATAATTATTTAATAAGAATTAGACTATGCGAAAAACTTTAAACGACTTCAAATTATACATCCATTCATGGACACACGCAGATGACGAGAACATACAAACGTAAATTTATGATGTGGAATAGTGTTTATTGAGACCGCTGAAATGATTATAGAGTGCAATTAAAGAAGCATAATGCTATTGACTGAGACTTTTTTCATTTTATTTGTGTGGGTGGTATAGACGATATTGTGCTGCAAAAATGGCGTTAGACCTCATGACAACAACAATAACAGAATCGGCAAGTAGCAGCTAGTAGGGTAGTGCTGATATGCTGTTATTGTTTAAACACACTGCTCACTGTCTCGTGGATGAATAAAAACACTGTTATAACATAATCAGATTCGTATTTCATTGTTCATTATGTTATCATATCAGACAGGCAGAACAACACAAATTAACATTTAAGAATTGTAAATACATCACAGAAAGTGATGAAATATGTAGGAATAAGAGTTGCGTAGGCTATTATTGGTTTCACATGGAATGTATTTTAAGTTGAAATTTTGTAACCATTTTTTAATTATTAATTTTAATTATTGAATAAAATCTTCACCCTAATTCATCGTCTGTGTCAGTTCATCTGTTTGTCTTCATAGCCAATATAATTTTAGCCGTTCGTGTTCGATCACTCAATTGTTTTGTGTTGACCAGATGACTTACCCATGCTCATATATGATACAAGTGTTGTTACCTGTCAGAAGAAATAATCGTTTTGGATCACTTTGAACGAATTTTAGAAACATCTTTTGCAAGCGATGGTAATAAAGTGCGAAAAGAACTTCATTTTGCAAAAGGTAGATATCGGGGCTTATATTCATCATTTCCTAAACAAAAGCCAAGACTTTTTTTTGTTTTGGGGAGATAAGGGCAAAATACATTGACCAATGCATTTACAACAGACACTAGACTACACCAGGTTAGACACTGAAAAAACTCTGTAGACTGTTCTAGACCATGAATTTGCTCATATGGACTGTTCAATTTGGTGAATGGACATATTGCTAAAACGTATCTACGTGTTAACGGCACCTTGCATTATGTATCATGCATTTAAATTTTTGGAACACAACCTATCGCCTTCCCTTTTCAGACCCTGCCAAAGGATCAATGACACTGATATGGACTAATACAGTGAAATCAGACCTTGAACACTCTAATTTTCAGTGCCCTTGCTAAGGGTTTATTTTTTGTTCATGCAAGCTACATGAATACGGAAAAGGAAACAAATGTGTTTGAAACTGAATGTGTAAAATGACTTGCGAAAAGAAGCAATCAGTGCGAGAAGAAACCGTATTTCATTTCTTTATCAAATTCAGTTTTTTAAAACAAAAACGATGACAAAACACATTGGCTGTAGCATAAGGCACAGCAAATTACTTATGAAAAGAATAAGAGCAAAACAAAACATATTCTAGTAATTTCTTAATTACTTGTTTGAAATCTATTTTCGATAAAGGCAAAATAAAAGCAAACGACATTAAAAATCGTATGTACTAATATCACTCTTTTGTCATATAGTAGTCAGTACAAAACACAATGCCTTTGCAAAAAGAACGTAAAACTGGAACATGAAACAGTATTTCCTTGATTAATTGACCATGTGGAATACATATATTTTATTTTAAAAAACTAAGATAAATTACAATGAAGCAAACTCTGCATAATGTCACAATATATTTACCATGCGACTTGTAACAACCAAAAACGATTACATGCAAGAAAAGAATACATAGGTTTCTTTTAACTTCATCTTACATGAACAACTGCTTTTTTAATGAAAACTCTGACTATTATAGGGTTATATCATTGTTAGAAATTATCGTGCTGCTGAATTAGTTTTTTTTACCTTTCCGCATTGTCTCCTTTGTTGTTGGTTTGGTATTTGTTGCCACTGAAGATGGTATTACCACCATTTTAGTTCCAACCGTGAACGCTACAGTATTTGGGTTCATTTTCCCTAAATTATTGAAACTTTATATAGAAAAAAGTAACATGATTTTATCTTTACGCAAGCCTATTTACATAATGCTGTACGTACGTCTCTTGGAAAAGTTTAGTAAGTGTATTCATGAAACATGATTTCTTTTCGCGAAAAGTTCTTTCCGCACTTTAGTACAACCATTTTCAAGTTGTTTATTTGTTTTCCATATCCACACTGTTGTAGGTATCAGAAAATATACAGGACAGTCAATTGGTTTAATTGTGCCATATGTTTCATTCACAATATTTACACAGGACCACTTGTTTGGAATCGATACGGGCACAATTTATCCAGTTTCATATAAAAATCAATGCTCAAGCAAAAGATCAGCTTATAAAATTATATTTTCCTTGAAATAAAAAATCACAGGGACCTGTGGTCAGTTTTATGTTACATACCTGTTTCGAATAAATCTTTCGCCTTCTACTTTGAGATCAATTATAATTAACATATGTTTCACAAAAAATGAAGTAATGAATATTTTCAACTCTTCATCTATTTTTGTTTTGTTCTGCTATTTACGCCTTGTTCAGAAATGTTCAGTTTATTCCGGGATCTTCCGGTAAATAGTTGGACCGAAACGAACTGAAATGAACCAACACGGCTCATTGTCGTATCAGAGTCGTTTTTCACAAACCGTTTCGTCAGGGTTGTTTGGTCTCATATTGGTATCCAGCTGTTTTAATGGAAATTTAGAAATTCATTTCACTTTCTTGTATTAACATGTAATTGTATTTTGTGCCATTTTACTTTTTTTCATGATTGTAGATTTAATATTATTCTAGCGGTGATGATAATCACATTGACTACTTTTAATACTAATCCTTAAACTGGTATTGTTATTAGCTGGTAATAATAATTACATACGCAATAATTATATTTACAGTCGCAATAATTATAATTACACTGTGGAAAAGCATAGAAATTGAGAGGTCAAATCAAGATCACGAACTGAATAATATTTCAATGCATGACGATGCAAATAAGACTGAATTTATATATTATTGTGTATATTAAAATGGGAGAGACGTGGAATTTATTTCCTATGATACAATCACAACTGAAAATGATTAATGAAGGTGCTAGTTTAAATTTGGAATGTTGATTATGGGATTTTTCATTGTGATTTATATATCATGCACGTTTCACTTGTAAACAATACTAAAGTCTAAGAGATGCACTGTTTTTATTTTGTTTACATACAAACACATATCTTTATTTACACAGACACACGCACATACACACACACACATATATATAATTCATCATTCCGGTGACCTAGTGGTTAGAGTGTCGGCCTCAGATGCGGGAAGTCGCGGGTTCGAATCCCTGCCGAATCATACCAAAGACTTCTCAAAATGGTACTACCATCTGCATCACTTGGCGCTCAGCATTAAGAGGTTAGTGTTAGGAATGGTCGACCTCATCTCAGGATAATATGACTACCTGAGAGATGCATGCATACATACATACATACATACATACATACATACATACATACATACATACATACATACATACATACATACATACATACATACATACATACATACATACATACATACATACATACATACATACATACATACATACATACATACATACATACATACATACATACATACATACATACACACATACATACAATGAATGATAATGCAAAATTGTATTTTGGACTTTGTCCAAAATCTTTTGATATACCTGCGAATGTTAAGGTATATATATATATATATATATATATATATATATATATATATATATATATATATATATATATATATATATATATATATATATATATATATATATATATATATATATATATATTAGTGTTAGAAAAAGAGCTTTTAATTATAAGTCAATTAATTTTGTAAACATTAAAAGTTCCTACAAGTTTTTTTCCCTTAAGTAATAGTCCTTTTAGTAGATGCTGAGACCTGAGGTCAAGTAGTGGACTACATGATCTTTTCTCTGGAACAATGATTCATTCGTGCTTTAACCACTCCGGTGGCCTATTGATTTGAACGTCCACCTTAGGTGCAGGAGGTCGTGGGTTCGAACCCCGGTATAAACCTACCAAAGACTTATAAAAATGGTAATAACAGCTGCCTCGCTTGACGCACAGCATTAAGAGGTTAGTGTTAGATCGGCCTGGTGTCTGGATAATGTGACAGGTGGACATAATACCGCATGTCTGCGGCATAATGGCACATTGCTAGACATCTGTATAAACTATCACTTTGCAGACATCGTAGCGATATGACTGACAAATTGTTAAAGCTTCGTTAAAAATCTAAACCACTCACAAACACATTTTCGTGCTTTTAGCTCTACCAGAATCAATTTGTATTATTGTTGTGGCTAAAAGTTCATTATGGCTGGGATATATTTCTTCAAATTATTAAAGTACAATGTCTCTGGAAATAAAGAAAACTCATTAAATAATAAATAAAGTACATAATTATTAAATAATCATGTAAATAGTGACGTTCACTGAGATTCATAGTGAATTCAATTCGAAAGCTGGATAAATATCACCGGTAATCAACAAAAGACTGTTAGTAAAACAACACAATGCAGGCCGCCACTGGCACATCAACATCATCAGCGTTTAATTGAATTTGGATTTCTACCAAAATGTTTCAAAACTTTTATTGTCAGGACCTTTGTCTGTAATTCAAGGATTAGTTTTGTATTTAATTTACAATACCGTTATCACTTTTGTATTTTCACTTTGCATTCTAATGAATTTAATTCTTTTGTTAAATTTTACAAATTTTGTTGCTTTTTACTTTTTTGTTAAACATTTTATGAGCCTAGCCTCGTAAAGAAAATGTGTTGCTACAATTCTTGTACAACATTCCATTTCTAGAAATATTTTACTTTTTTATATCGACACAAACTCCATTTGTTATCCACAAAGTTGCATAATTTATATGTCATTTGCGGTGTAAATAATACATTAATGCGATATTTAGTATAAATATAGCTGTATACGTGTACATAAGGAGATATGTTAAACTTGCATATAGTATCATATTATTAGACATACGTGATGATTATTGACTCGCGAAATTTTTATCATCGATATGAGTTTCAAATTGTGCTGACGTACTTTCAACAAAAATGATGTATAGATTCTCAAACGTGTTTTGGTTGCACTATGGCATATTTGTTGATGAGAGCTTATATTATTTCTATCATTCTGCACTTTTCACACTACTATTGAAATGAAGACAGCAAAATTTATATAAATCCCCTGTACACTTTCTTTGATTATGTAACATCATACCTCTCAGATACAAACTTTAGAATCACGTCACTGTACTAATTCAATAATTCACTCCTTTAATTATTATTTTTTCAGCAATTTGTCCATCTGCTCACTTGAAAACAATGGCGCACGACCATTTCCAATCGTCTTTCCTTCCGCTCACTTGAACACATTTTCGCATGACAGTTTTCCAGTAGTTTTTCCATCAGCTCACCTGAAAACAATTTGTCATGACAGTTTTCATTAATTGAGCCATTAGCTCACTTGATAAAATGTTTCATGACATTTTTCTTGCAGGTTATTCTTCAACTCATCTAAAAAATAATTTTATTGTGATAGTTGTCTTGCAGTTTTTCTTTCAGCTGATCTGAAAAAGATTTCTGATGATATTGCTCTAGCTGGTTTTGCGAACATATGCCATACATTCTTTAAGCACATTTTTAATAACCACATTTTCCAAAATCTGTCGAACGTATATGTATTCAGTATATAGCTAATAGTAATAACCCTTGGTTCATTTTTCATAATATTCATTTGAGATCTGTCCATTAGAATTTGTAATTGTAAAAATGTCGAGATAATCCAAAAATACTAATTGATGCGTGTGCTTATATTAAGCCTCCATCTCTTGAACAGTAACAGTAAACTATTGGGGGTTTAGATCTTATATATCACATGCACTTCATTCTATGGAGAAAAAAATTCCTATGCGTTCATAACTAGTATAATTAGCGAATATTCACCAAACAATCTGTAAAGTTGTAACTAAGCACATCAAATTTGCATTTAGACAGCGTCGTCTAGTGGTAAAGATACTTTGTATAAATTTATCATGACAATTCTAAAAATTTGGTGTCGTTGAGCGTGAGTAAAGCAATTATATCATACTTCGTACAGAAACAAGTTTGGCTGCCAGAACCGGATATATTCGAAACTAATGATGCTATGAGATTTTCCTTATCTTAATGAAGATGACATTGTTAAAATTATTAATAACATACGTGAATGCAAAGAGAGAAAGAGATGAGAAGTTTGTAAAAGATCTTGGCAGAAAAATAATTGGTAAAGTTACGCAAGGTGTGTCTTATGATCATAAACGAATGTATACAAGATTAATTATGGACGATGATAAACTCGATTTTATATTTGCCGATACAACGACGAAAAACATTTATAAGTCGAAATAATACTTGATTATCAGACGGAACTAAATTAGGTACAAAAGTCAGCTATACTCAGTTTACTCATTTAAGATCTTCGATGCTAGCGTACGTTTCGATAAATCTATTATCAATGATAAACAAATTTCATAGTTATACAGAGTCGCGACATATTCATATTATATAAATAGACAATATGCGGATTCGTTAAAACAATTGCATATTAACAATCATTTTTCATTAGGCAAATGAGGAAAAAACATGAACATATACTCAATTATTCTGGATATGTCGACGTTGAAAATGAGGAGACAAAGAAGAATAATAATCAAATACCAGGATTGTCATCGGCATCATCTGTATACAATCCTTTGGCTAGACATAAAAACGTTTCATGGGTGTTTTTCGTTCAGGTAAAACAACACGCACTATTAAATTATTTAGCAATTGTTCTGATATAATTGTTTTGATGTCGACACATAAATTCGCCCGGGAAATAAAAGAACGAGAAGTAAAATCATGTACATATAGTATCTTCAGATGGTGCGGAGACTCATTGACTCCGTCGAGGATATGTGAGAAATACATTCCTAAAATTATCTGGGACGAGATATGCACGGTGTCGCTGGAATTATTAAAATATTTCTTGATTGGCTATTATTAAAAAATTCTGCTGTGATAAAGCGTGGCAATCATTTTCAACCGCCACATTTTATTAGATCGTCTCTACATGAGTGGCTGAAAACATTTAGATTAGTACGAAAAATTAACTGATAAGCATAAAGCTATTTATAAAGCAATAAAAGAGTTTAGACAGTTAAGAATACTACAGCCCGATAAAATACAGTGTACGTAATGTGTAAATTAATTATAGAAACTTCTATGAATGATTTTTGGACTTTATGGAGACCTGCTGATTTTAAAGTTGCAAATAAAAAATAGTTCGCGATACACTTCAACAACAATTCAGATCTACTTGTACCACTATGTTATCGCCCAGCAGATACTAGACAACAAAATGTTGATGTTGTGATTCCTGGTGATGGAATACGAAATTTTGTGCAACATAATGTTGTTTTAGCTGTTGTTTATGTTGTTGAGAGCACGTTGATCATGGGTAAAACGCTGTGGATATTAGAATACGCTAAAACGATTTACTCGTCACAGGGACTAACTATAGTTGATGCAAGTATTTGGATTGTCGATGATCTTATCAAATGGTCAAATTTAGTTTATCTTGCAGTATCTAGAATCAGAAGAGCATCTCAACTGCATATGGCTGCCATGGATTACGGAACAATCGACCGCAGAAATCAATAGCAACATTGTCGATATCAATGAATCATTAGCAAGCTATAAGCAATGTGACGAAAAAAATAATCGCGACATTGATAAACAAATTTAGTAAAACACAGTCATTATAAACTGAATATATTATAAATAAAACAACAAAATAATCATTGTTCAAGTTGTATCGCAGTAAAAATAGCACTGCAAATTAATGTCTGATAAGTCTACTTGCCATATATAATAATTCATTACGTGTCTATTCCAGTCTTTAATCTTGATATTTAATCCGTTTAAAGTACCTATTTGTAATGTATTAGGCGTCACATACTCAGGTCCTCTAATTGAGTAAATTGGAGGTGGGTGGGGTGAGGTGGGTGGGTGGGGTAAGGGGTGGGGTGGGGTTTGGGGTGGGATAGGGTGGGTTGGGTAGGGTGGGCCATAGTTATCCGTTATTGCATTTAAATTATTTATAAAAATGATACAAATTTTCAGGCAAGCTGCGCATGATCTGGCAGATGATTGTACGCATTGACAGTTTGAATACTAGTAATTTAGAAAGAAGCTCGCGGTAGACAGTGTCAAAATATGTTTATTAGTTGGACCATTATCAGTACTAAG